GTTATGTTTCCTGAAAAATTGAACCTTTTATCATATGTAGCAACTGTCTCTCACTAATAATGCTTTTTATCTTAAAATGTATTTTGACTGTTATCATAACATACTGATACATCTCTTTCTTTTGGTTAGTAACCTTCTGATACCAAAAAAGCTATAGCTATTAGGAACAATACACAGAGGATTTTAATTCTTTAGTCAAATCTGAACATCTCGGCCTTTTAACAGCTAGTTTAACCAACTGACATTAAAGTTAATTACTGGACTTATTTCAACATCATCCTATTCAATATGTCCTAAATTTATGCTTTCTCTTCACATTTTTTTTAGGATTAGATGAATTTTCTTGGTTTTTGTTTTGTTTTTCTTACTACTACCTCCACCTCCCTACTCATTTGCAAGTTTTATGCTCCATTCTTATTTCCTTAATTTTACCAAGAATACATAAACCCTAAATGAAATATCTTATGCTCCCTCTCAAAGACCTTAAAACATTTAAGTCTCTAAAACACAAAACCCAATGAAAAAGGTCTGAGCCAAACATGAATCAACTTGTTCAAATTAGAACTCAAGTCAGATTTTTAAAATAAATAAAAAGAATGGAAGAATAGAATTAATTTCAAATAACAAGCAAAATAAAGAAGACAGAAGATACCTGAGATAAACAGAAGGAAAAACACCAGACCTGTTGCCTCTTTTATTGTTTTAGTACAATCTGTGAGCTAAGAATGGTTTTTATATTTTTTCTAAATGGCTGGAAAAAACAAAAATACTATTTCATAACATATAAAAATCATATGAAATTCAAATTTCAGTATGCATAAATAAAGTTTTATTGGAACAGAGCCATGCACATTTGTTTATACATTGTCTATGGCTGCTTTCATGCTATAATGTCAAAGCTGAGTTGCTGCAACAGAGACCATATGACCCTGCAACGCCTAAAATATTTACTATATGACCCTTTAAGATAAAGTTTGCCTGCCCTCGGTTTTTAACATATTAAATGAGTAGATTAGATCAAGATACTTAGTTTCTACATGCCCTTCAAAATCTCACTGAATCATCATAAAAGATAGTTTAAAATTTTAAAGTCTATTGTCATGTTGTAATAAAAAGTATCCCTAATAAATACTGAAGAACTCACAGAAGAAAAATGGAGAATGGATCGAGACCCAGAACAGAAATACTACAGCTATCATGACAGAAAAGAAAATGCCCCTGCAAAGACAGAAAGAGTCCCAGAAAATTTTCAATTTCAGAATCCATAAAATATAATGGAAAGAGAATCTGGAACAAACATGGAGGTAATTTTAACAATAAGACCAGCTTTAGCCACTCCCCCTATCATATATACAGTTACAGGCATCATCAACCTTCACTTCCAAGATTAAGCTCTTCTGACCAACTTCTAAACAAAGTTCATGCTCTACCTCAGGAGACATCTGAACATGAAGTTGAAGCTGGAGAGAGAAGCAAGGAAGGGCCCAAGATAATATCGACAAACAATAAAAAGAGGCAGTATAGATGACTAAGCCAATAATCATCATAGAAATCAAAACACGTATTTTTAAAATGTTAGCTCTAAGAAAAATGAAGAAAAAATAACAAAACTGCACAGGACCCCAAAAGGTGTTAAATGATCAAATTCTACTAATCTTTCAAGTAATAGTCGATTGTTCTATATAGAGCACAGAAAAAATGGAAAGCTCATTTTGGGAAGGTTGTATAACCCTGATACCAAATCAGAAAAATAATACAAACAAAAGTACTTAAAACTGAATCCAGCAATAAATATATACTAAAAACCACTGGAACCCCTAACTACAGTGACTGAGTAAGGCTTATTCTAGTACTGCAAAACCAGTGCAGCCTTAGTAAATCTATTAATATCACTCGGTATAATAAAGGTTAAATGAAGTAAATGCTAATATACATCAATGATAATCCTGACATATATTTTAAAAGCATTTGACAAACTTTAACATTTATTCTTGATTAAAAAGCAGAAACAAATTCCTAACAAGCTGAAATAGAAGAAACTGCCTGAACTTGATAATTACTTGCAAAATATTATATCATTAAATATGAAATGTCCAATTTCGAATCAAAAGTACAGTTTATTATATCTCAAACAGGAAGCAGTACAATTAATCAAAGTATGCTCCTGAACTATCAATACAGTTTTGCCATCTTAAGGGTAGCTGGTTTATGCCAGCAACCAAGAAGCCTGGGGAGCCAGTGGCAACGAAATCACAAAAGGTGTTTTCCACAGCTGTGGAGAATTGAATATTTTTCCTTGCAAGAAGTGGTCTAAAGCCTGGAAGTAGTAGTAGTCAGTTGGTGCAAGATCTGGTGAATATGGTGGATGACACAGAGTTTCCAAGTCCAGCCTGTGTAGTTTGAGCAGCATTGTTTTTTGCAACATGTGGTCTTGCAAGAGGATTAGCCTATCTCTATTGACTAATCTCAGCTGCTTAATCACAAGCATCTTCATCATTTTATCCAGTTGGTTGCAGTAGACATCTGCTGTAATAGATTGACCAGGTTTCATGAAGCTATAGTGGATAATACCTGCACTGGACCACCAAATAGGTACCATTAGCTTTTTTTTGATGAATATTTGGTTTTGTACTGTGTTTTGGCCCTTCATCCTTATCCAACCATTGTGCTGAATGCTTGCGATTGTCAAAGAGAATCTATTTTTCATCACACATAACACTAAGGCATAGAAATCGTTCGCCTTTATGACATGACAGCAAAGAAAGGAAAGCTTCCAGACAATTTCTCTTCTGACACTTGTTTAATTCACGTGGTACCCATCTGGCCAGCTTCTTTACCTTGCCCATTTGCTTCAAATGGTCCAACACTGTTGGACTAGCAACGTCAAACCTTGCTGCTACTTCACACATAGGTTGAGGTGGATTCGCTTCACTACAGCTTTCAACCCATCATAATCCACCTTGGTCTCAGGTCACCCACATGGCTCACTTTCAAAATTAAAATCACCAGAATGGAACTTCTCAAACCATCGACATACTGTGCGTTCATTAGCTACATCCTTACCGAACACTTCAGTGATATTTCAAGCTGTATGCACTGCATTATTCCATGATGAAACTCATACTCAAAAACAACACGAGTTTTTGACTTATGCATGGTTTCACAAAAATTGCTCTAAAACAAATGTGAAAGATAATCACGAGCCAAAATGTGCACTTGAAAGACTGAGGATGGACCTTAACAATAGGAAAAAAAAACAAGAAGTGTCAAAGTGAAATGTCAGACGTATCAACTGTCAAACTTAGAACTTAAGGAAATCAGACACCTCATACTGAATGACCTAGTATTAAAGGTACTCACCAAAGTCAAAGATAAGTATGAATACTCTCATCTTAACAAATGAATATTGTACTGAGGGCCTTAGACAATGTGAAAAAATATGAAAAATATATAAGATTAAAATGTTGGGAAATGAAAAGATAAAAATTGCATTATTTGTGGATAATGATTGATAGATAATGAACTTTTCATATGGAAAACACAAGAAAATTAATTAAGGAAGAACAACAATTAACACAAATAACTAGTAAGCTGGCACAATATAAAATATGCACATAAAATTTAATAACTTTCCTCCAGACCTATAATAACAAAACAGCAACAGAAATAAGAGGAAGATCCCATTCAAAGGAATAAATGCTACAAAATTGCTAGGAATAAATTTGAGGGGAAAAAAAGATACAAGACCAATGTGAAGAAAACTGTAAAACATTCTTGAAGGACATTAAAAAATGAATGACCCAGATAAATGACAGCCATGCACACTGTGGAAAGATTCAGTATCACAAAAATGTCAATTCTTTCTTAACAAGGTTTAATAAAATTCCAATCCCAGTTCCAACAGAGTAATTTTTCCATTTTCCTTTAAAACATAATTCTAAATTCACTTGGAAGAACTGATGTGTCAGAATCAACAAAATCTTTAAGAAAAAAGAATAATAAAGGGAATCTACTACCTTCCAGATATTGTTTTAAATTTAAAGGTACTAGAATCAAATTAGGGTTGCACATTAGAAGACATTATATGTATCACATTTAATAACAAAGGATTAACATAAAAATATTTTTTCAATAAATAAGTAGCTATTAAGTAATCCTATAAAAGGAGGATGAAGGACGTGAAAAGGCAATTTACAGAAGGGAAAAAGCCAGTCTAATTTGAAAAGATAAAGCATTACATAAGCATTTGGGGAAATGCAAATTAAAATATTGAGATGTCTTTCTTGATTTTTACCAGGTAAACTTAAAAAGTAGCAACATTAAATGCTGTGAGGAGTATGAGGAAATTATTAATAGATAGCATCATATAATTGATGGGAATATAAATTATTATAATCTTTTCAGTACATAATTTGGTAGCATTTATTATAATATAAAACGAACACCTGATAATTGGGACAGCAATTCCATATGGAATCTATTCCTATGTACAAGGATAGTCACTGCTTTATTATAAATAACAAAAAGAGAATTTTAAAAAGACCTAAATGTTCATTAATGAAGAAATATTTTAAAATTTTATATAAGATTGTGGATGAGTATGCAGGAGGAAATTAAAAAGTAATAATAAGTAAATTGACAGGTATCATAATACTAAAAAAAAAGTATGATCCTATTTATGTCAAAAACAAAAAATTGCAAACCTATAAATATGTTTGTATGTAAGTTATTTAGGACAGAGATATTTTAAGTCAATGGCTTATGCCAAATTATTGTTTTCATATGCCATGCCATCATACATGAATTATCTGTAATTACAAAATACTTAACATAATTTTTCAAATTAAATATATTAAGTGCTGTTTTATAGCAACAAGCTATAGGTCATGATTATGTAAGTATTTAGCAAAAGCTTATATATACAGACAGCGTGTAACTTTTAAAATCTGACATTTGAGGTCATCTTCAGCATGCCAAAAAGAGAATTTAATCGCGCTTACCAATATCATTAATCACTGCTCTTATTTTGGAGACAAAGGGACCAACTTCACTGGAACTCATTTTTGCTCTTTCCTTAAGGTCAGCACCTGCAAAGTATTTTATTTATAAATATAATCTAGTAATAAACAAAATTTTAAGGCAAAGAATTGAAAATTTACTTAATGTATAACTTGAAGATCCACTTAATTCATCTGTTAAAGGAAGGACATCGCCCAAGTTCTCTTTCTCGATGACCACCATGAGCAAGAATGAAGTCTTTATTTCTTCATACACCCACTATGTGCTTAAAGCAATGCTTCTCAAACTTTCTGGTCACAGGATCCCTTCATACTCTTAAAGGAAAACACTATGCTTGGATTGTATCTGTGGTAGTTACTCTATTAGAAAATTGAAACTAAAAATTTTTAATGTTTATATGTTCATTTAAAAATACAAACAAACCCATTAATGTCAATATAAATAACTACAAATTGGTGCCACCACCTTGGTTCATGCAAAGACCCTAAGCGGTTTTACCCACTACAGCTTTTACAGTGCATGAGTGCAAATGCCAACCCAGTGCAAAGGGCAAATCACCCTCTAGTGCTATGCAAATTGTTCTGACGTAGTGGATGCAGCAGATGCCCACCTTCACAACTGTGGACCACAGTTGAGAATCACTAGCTTTAAAGTGTGAACAATCTGACATTCTCATAAATATGACTTTATTACAGAATCATAACTTTGGAATAGATAAAAATAAACACATGGAATTCCTTAAGGGATCATTAACTCTGAGCTCAACAAAGACATTTGTTTTAATAAAATTCAAGATCTGAGAAAAAAAATGGTCCCCATTTAAGTAAACAAACAACAAAGTAAACTTACAGTATAGAAGGCATACACACTATTTACTCTCTTATTATAGTCCATTGTAAGTTAGTTATGACTACGCATAATATCAAGTATGGGCTGGGGCTGGGACTTTCTGATCTCACACACTTCCAGGAATGAGAACCAGAGCAGGCAAAGCACGTATCCCACGACCCATCAGTCCTTGGGTGTGCACACCCTAGAACAGCTTTCACACACCCAAGAAAATGCCCACAGTAACAGTCCACTGTATTATTATAGCACACACATAATAGCAAACACTGGAAACAGCCTAAATGTCCAACAGGAGAATAAAATTAGGACATATTTATAGAACAGATTATTACATATACAGCATGGAAATGAAAGAATCTTTGCTTCACAGACTGAAACAAAATAAAGGAAATGAAAGAATCACAGCATAAATACAGATAAATCTAACGTAATACTGAAGAAAAATAAAATTACGGAAAGACACATAGGATAGTAACCACTTACATAAGTTTCTAAAACAAGAATGCTATTTAGGCATAGAAAGCATGCATGCAAACGATAAATAACAAATACAATTTGTAGTTATAGGGGTGGGGTGTGATCGGCAATGGGAACACATAGGACCTCAATTTTATGTGTAATATTGTATTGCTTAGGTTGGGTAGTGGGCGCTCAATATGTTAGTAATCATCAAATGGTTTTGGATGCCTGACATGTCTTTATGGTTAATTTTTTCATGAAGAATTAAAATTTAACAAAGAAGAAAAATGTTAGCAGGCCCAAAACACTGCATTTGCTAAAAGAAATAATAAATAGTTTAACCTAGTGCCATTTAAAATTGAGAATATAAAATGTGGCTAACTACACCCTATTACATATGTTGGTTAGTAAGAGTAGCTAAACATTGTGCAACGTGGGGTGGGGAGATGAACAGCACGAAGAGGAGCCGAGGCAATGAAAAGAAGAAAGCAGCCATGGGCTCTGGTGGCCCTGGAGAAGACCCTGCGGCCGATCCAGCAACTAACCCACTTGGCCTCAGGGTGGGTTAAGCAGCAGGCTGCAGTCTAACACACCACCTGGTTCTGACTCTGCCTTCACGGCACGCTGTGGAAACCACACTCCAGGACGGAAGGGACGGGGCTGCTGGAAGCCAGGCCAGGAGCTGGCTCCTGGCACCTGTGGCCCATCTGCTCACACCCGTCGCAGGGAAGAGGTCTGGAAGACTGGCTGCGTTATCTAGGGGGGCCTTATCCACACGACAGAAGTGTTGAGACTTCTTCTGGATCCAAGGTTTATTTTAGAGATAATTACCTTTGCCCGTGGAATGTTAAACACATGAAGACTTGAGACTACCTTAAAAAATTTAATATCCATTCTGCTTTTACTTTGGAAACACATGCTGAGATCTCAAACACTAAAAATACAGATTCACCTCTTTTCTTTCCGAGATCCTTTGGTAGTACCCAAAATCTTCTCTGAGGCCTAGTATTTCTCAGTTCCACTACTTTTTACATTCAAATCCTTTACGTTCATGACTGCCCATTGCAGGCCTCCTGTTCACTCTCCTGCTCATCTACAGACCATTTGACAACTTCCCTCTCTCCACAAATCTCAAAATCTCCTGCCAGTCCTGATACCAACTTATTAAGAAACCAGAAAAGAAATTCTACCAGCACCCACCACTGATGCCATCCACTTGCAAGGACCTGAACCCAGACACTCCGCCCTGCCTCTGGTTACTGCAGATGGATTAACTCATGGAGACTAAGCTGTCCTCCTGTGCACGGGGTTCAACCCCTTGTCTCCTCAGGACATCACTTCAGCATTTATACTCTGCCCAGCTGGCATCAATCTTCCCTCTCTACAGACTCATTCTCCTCAGCATACAATAATGCTGCAATATTGCCATCTTAAAAATAAAAACACCTCGCGGAGACTATGCGGCCGGGTGACCAAATAGGTTATCATCAGACCAATTCTTCCATGAACCACTGGAGAGAATACATAAGACAGTTATTTGAGAGTAATGGAGAGCAACTGAGGCAGCCAGGACGTAAGAGGCTGGAAAGCCAGAGAGAAGGGAAACTATGGTAAACCCCTGCCTTCCCCTCACAAAGGAAAGGATATACTGAGTCATAAACTTGGGGCACGGGGGACCAAAAGCCCTGGCAGGAAGCAACAGCTCAGAAGTCTCTGCAGTCTCCTAGAGCTGGGGAGACCAGCAATGGCAGTGAGGACTACTGACCCAGCCAGAACGTAGAGCCCAAGATCCTGGAGAAAAGGAACTGCAGAGAAAGGAGCCTGCCTGAGGGAGACGCATATTTCTGAGGCAAATGTAAGTTTCCAAACAATCTCACAGAAATGGGAGCAAAAACTGGAGCTCAGAGCTTGAAAAGGAAGAGGACCTATAAATACCCAAAGCTTTCAACTGAGACCTCTGAAGGTTAAATATAAAGCAAGATAGATATAAAGAAAACCACACCAAGTCCAACTGTTGAAAGCCAAAGACAAAAAGAGAATCTTAGAAGCTGCCAAAGAAAAAAGACAACTGAGTATCTAAAAACGACACCAAGACTGACAGCTGACATCTCAACAGAAAATGGATGACACCTTTAAAGTGGAGAAAGAAAATAACTGCCAATCTAGAACTCTAACTAGGCAAACCCATCCTTCAAAAATGACGGTGAAGTACAGGCATTTTTATACACACACACACACACACACACAAACTGTCACCAGCAGTGCCACACCAAAAGAAACATTGAAGGGAGTTCTTTAGGAAGAAGATTATGAGAGCAGACTTTTAAATCTTATTTTACACTGCTTACAAGAGTTGTATAGTATAGGAGAGCACAGAATGGCTAAAGCAAAAGGGTAAAAAAAGATGCTAAAAGTAGCCAAAAGGAACTTGTAAAATTATCCTACCATCTGACAAATAGTACTCAAGCTAGAGGGTCAACATATAGTAATCAATAAGATAATCTACTAAAAAAAGTCACAAGAATTTTCAATTGGGATTACATATAGGAAGACAGCCCCAAACATATAAAGCAAAAACCAATGGAAGCTAAAAGAAAAACTGACAATCACAGTGGATTTTTAAAGATGTCTCTCAGTAACTGATAAACAAGTAGGCAAATATCCTTATCAAGTATCCCTACCTATCACAATATATGAAATGAGAAAAAGTTAATGCCAAAGTACACAAGAAAAGAAACAGTAAAAACAGGAGCCATGGACACATGGATGGATACTTTCTGGACAGCCCTCATATTTTCCTATAAATTTGCCTTTCCTAGACATTTCATATAAATAAATTCATATAATACATGGCATTATTTTTCTGTTTTCTTTCACATAGCATGTTTTTCAGGGTCATCCATGTTATAAGCATGAAATCAGTACTTTTTCTTTTTACTGCCAGAGAGTTTTCCACTGCATGGACATACAAACATTTTGCTTATTCAATCATCAGATAATAGACATCTGGATTATTTCTACTTTTTGGCTACTATGAATAATGCTGCTATGAACATTTACTTACAAGTCTGTGTGTGAACAAATGTTTTCATTTGTTTCGGGTAGATACATGGAAGTGGAATTGCCAGGTCATATTGGAAATTTTGTTTATCTTGGTGGGGAGACGTGCCAAACTGTTTTCCTAGGTTTGCTGTGCCATTTTACTTTCCTCCCAGCTATGTACGAGGGTCTGCTTTCCCACAAAATCATCAACAATTGTCTTGTCTTTCTGATTACAGCCATTTTAGAAGGGGTGAAGTGGTATCTATAATGGATTTAATTTGCATTTCCCTGATGACTAATGAGGTTAAGCATCTTTTCATGTGCTTACTGGACACTTATACAGCTGCTCTGTGAATGTCTATTCATATCTTTTGCTCATTTTTCTTTACTGAGTAATTTCTTTTCTCCTTATTGAGTTCTAAGAGTTACATCTTAGATACAAGTCTGTTCTCAAACATATGATTTACAAATATTTTCTCCCAGTCTGTGACTTGTCTTTTCATTTTCTTGGTGGTTTTTGAAGCACAATTTTAATTTTCAATTAAGTTCAATTTATCAACTTTTTCTTATATCACTTGTGCTTTTGGTGTCGTATTTAAAATCAACACTCATTCCTGATTAAATTCCCTGTGCAAACTTGGAAGAAAAGGGAATCTTTCAAATCTAATAAAAAGTAAATGTAAAATACTTACACCTAACATAATCTTTAATGGTCAAT